TTCCTGCTGCTGCTCGGAAAGAAGAGGAAGAGCTTCTTAATCAAGGATGGGGTCCAGCTGTACAGTCAGCATCTGGAATATAGCATGGCTTTTGCATCAGAAGAGGTGGCTGGGGGCTGCTTTGTCACCACTGGCATCCTGCTGTCCTAAGCAACTGCCTACTTTGGCTAGGCCCAGGGACAATCCTGGGTGATACAATGGGTGGCTGGCCACGAACAACGGAGACAGAACACCCGTTTTTAAGCATTATGCATTTGAAAATCACCTCAAGCTTTTTTAGGCTACCAAACCAGTTTGGAATTTTGTCTGAAAAATTCAGAACCATTTTGCCCATAAAGGCAAATGAGAACATCTTACTGGATGTGACAACAATTCTAAAGATTTAAAATAAAAAAGGAAAGCCCAAAAGGGCAGGTCTTGTCCAAAAAAGCCTGTAGGAAGATGGGGAGGAGACAGTGGAGGTGAGGGCGAGTTTTCTCAGCCATTTGGGGATATTCTTCTCTGCTAGGAGTGTGTGCACTCATGTCTAAAAGTAGAAGACTTGGGATGAAGACTTCAGCATTAACTCATTTAAAAAAACAAAACAAACAACAAACCCAAACCACTAACCACTTCTGCCTCTTTGGGTCCACCTGGAAAAACATCAACACAATCTTCCATAACAGATACATCAGGATGACACATTCCTGAAGGAAGGAATCATCAGCTTAAAAACTTGAAAATCCACCTTCTCAGTCTAGCCTCCACTTTTAAAGTGAGGGACAGATGAGTCAAGAGAGAGGGCAGAGAATCTAATTAAAAGCTTCTGCTGGCATTAGAGTTCCTCAAGCAGATGTTTGCTTTGCTCTGAAACACTGATCCTACTGAAGAGTGAATAGTGAATTTGCTAAGAGCCAAAGGCAAAAAGCAGGACAGGTTCTAGGGACAATTAGCCAGAAAGCAACAGTGAAGGAGAAAGAAGTTATTAAATCCAATTTGGCATGGAAAGTAGACAGAAATGAGACATCACAGGAGTGGGCAGGAGGTACGCTTTAACCCTAAAAGGACACAGTGCTAACACCTGAGGTGATGAAAAACTCCCACAAAATAAGAACTGTAGTCTGAGCTGTGTGACAGAAGTGTTAGAGTTATGGAGAGCTTTTAATATTGGAGACAGAGATGGTATCTTGGCCTAGTGATGCTGAAGACTACGCAGGGAGGCAGAGGCTGGAGTTTCTTTTACGATGCAGAGCTCAAGGACACAGGGCCACGCTCCTGGAGCGGACAGGTCTCCAACTCCACCGTGGAAGAGAAGCTGATGCACAGGCAGTTTTCTCCCCTGGCACCACAGACCCCAGCAGGAGCAATATCACCTGCACAGCAGCCCCTTGGAGTGACAAAGGAGCAGCAGAATTGCTTTCAGAAGTACTCCTGCCAACTCTGCAGGGTCATCTACTTTCTAACAGACTCTGAAAGCCAACTCCATCCACACCTTTCCTTCCTGCCCCTATGCTGTTGCTGCTTCTTCATCACTCTTGCCAAACCAGGCTCTCTCCAGATTTTATCAGCACCCTCTCAACAAACCAGTGTCACCCCAGACATCACAACACTTCCCTTCGTTGCCAACAGCACCCTCTGCAGCCCAAATCCATTTGACTGAAAGGATGGGGGCAGAATCGGCTCCACCGCTCCTGCATGACAATCTCAGACTGCACATGCTGGGAGCAAGCTGGTATCTCTCTGCAGCCAAAAGGGATGCAGCGAGCCAAGAACTACACTGTGAACCAAAGCTGTGCCATGAGCAGCCAAAGGCATGTGCCAAGACCCAGGAACCTCAGTAATTGATAGATCTGACTTAACACACAGGGAGGTGGAATTAACGGTGACCCCACGCCAGCTGCCACCAAGCAAATGTCATTTCAGAAGACTGGGTGGTACCGTCTCGGGTATCTTTTCACTCTCTTGCCACAGCAGAGGCCATTTTCAGTCACTGAGCTGCCTGCTGTTAAGTGTTCCTCAAAACCACTGTCAGCAGTTCCAGAAACACCACCAGGAAGTCCATACAGCTACGTGCTGCTGTCCATGTGATGTCAGGCATAGCATGGTGTCACACCTTGTCACCCACAGTCACCTTCCAAAACAAGTCTGGCAGTAAAAACAAGCTGATGAAAGTCTTTGAGGAAGAAGGAGGTGGTCTGCAGCTTTCTCTTCATCCATCTGCAGGAGCAGGTAATGTCTGCTCCTGTAAGGTATTCCTCAGCTTCCACTTAGATACCTTAGGAAGGCGTCCACCAAGCCCTTCCTATCACAAGCACACACCAGTCATAGTCCTTTTTCATTGATAAACTTTCTAAAATTTGGTTTTGCCCAGAAGAGCAAGATCGTTCATTATAGATTTCTGCACCAGTAACATGCCTCCAACATGCAAACATGAAGTTAGCTTTGAAAGAAAACAGTGTTTTCTTGTAGCATGACTGTCATAAATCTTCAGCTTTATTCATTGACCTTCCAGCCCTAGTTAAGTTTGGGGTTGGGGCAAAGGTAACAGTGGTTACCACTTAAAGTGAGGATTTGTGGGGTTTATTAGGTTAAGGAGAGTTCTTCAGAAAGAAAGAAACCAAAGGACAGGATTTTGCTTTGCCTAACACTGGGCATCTGATGACTGTGTTTAGATGCCTGAGGATAGAAGAAGCAGGGCTCTGAGGGCCTCCTTCACACAGTAGAAAGAAACTGGCACCTCCAGAAGGTAACTCAGTACAAGTGGCTGCTTGTCCGCACAGGAAAACTAGTGTCACTGGCTTCAGAGCTGGACACTTCTAAATTCATCTCCTAAGTAGAGCTGAATTAGACCATGTCATTATCTTAAATGTCACAGCACACCTTTGTGCAATACTGGCCACTTACACTGCAGCGGAAAAGCTGTCTTAACCACGAGCAAGTAGACCATGCAGGTAAGAGAGGATAAAGCACAGGAAACCCTTGCATAAGGGCAGGAGCTGAGGCAAAGAGAAGTGACAGAGCTGGTTTATACTGATGAATATCTTGCAGCTCCCATTAGGGACTTGGAAGGGGAGACACTGTCAAAAACAGAAAAATCGCAAAAAAGAAACCGGGTCCCACAGTGGCAAGCACACCCTCCTTCGCACTTCCTTCTGTAACAGCAGTAGGCAGAAGGCAGCAAGTGGCATTCAAATATCAGCTTCAATCAGCGCTCAGGAAGCAAACAGGCACATTAGGCCAGGCAGGAGGGATGCAGGTCCCCAGCAACAGGATCCTGCAGTTGCAAAGCTGAAGTGGCACAATAGGCACAAGAACCCCCACGTTCATCCTAGTTGCCATTCTGCCCATTTGCAGCACTCAAACAAAAGCTAATCCCTTTGAAAAAGATTATTGAAAGTGGAGGACAAAAGCAGCAGCTTTTGTAGCTGGAAGTTTGAACAAGACGGCAGGACATGCAGCTACCCTACAGCTGGGATGTACTGGCTAGACAAGGCCAGCGCATGTACTCAGCGATGCTCTCTCTAATGGGAAGAATGTGTCTCTCAAACAGTTTTGCCAAAACAAAGCCTCTAATCAGCCAGAAGAAATATACCGTTTCAGCCCAGATTCAATTCTTAACTCTTCTTTACCACTTGTTTCATTTTACACAGTTAATATCCTTCTGCTCTTTGTAAGAAGAGAGCGTCTGCCCAGCATTATTTCCCTGTGCCCACAACCCTTCCACAAAATTTCAGGAGCAGACTTTCCATCCCTTCAACAAAGTAGCTCTTTACAGCCATGCACAGGACACAGCACCACGTAACTTCTCATCACAACTGATGCTGCAGTATGCAAGAAGCACTTTTTCTGGCTAAGACATTAAAAGCCTGTTAAAGAAACCTGTTAAAGAAACAGCTGATAGGATTTTGATATACATGCAGAGCAAACAAGCGTGCAACACTCTCAGATTTCCAAAAGAGATTCTAGGTCACATCCCTCCATTGCATCTTCAAAAAAATTGAGCTGCCAAGATTAAAGCCTGCAGCTCACCCTATCACCCTATCTTTACTCTACAAAAAGCCAAACCTGTAGTTCATAAGGACCACTAGGCTGAAAATCCTGCTGCAGCTTCCCTGGAACTAACTATATCTTTAACATAAGGTGAGTGACACAGGCTTGACACAATGCACCAATGCTATGTTGATGGTGAAACAATGCTTTTGCCTGTTGGGCTTTCAGTACACCCCAGAATTCAGTGCTGACAGTTTGTGACTGTTTCCTGGAATTCAAACAAGAGAGATGCAAGAATTTCTTGTACGTTCAAAAGGCAGCTCCCTACCCCCAAAGCAGCACATTTACCAGTTGCTCTTTTGAAAGCAGTCAACGTCCGAACAGCTGATGATGGCAGCACTGCTACCATAACCCTTTTGTACACCATTAACATCCTGTGGGGAAGAGCTCTCAGAGACATGTTTGTTTGCAGACTTGGGCATTTTTGGTCTCTTCTCCCAAGTAACTAGCAACAGAACAAGAGGAAATGGCCACAAGTTGCACCAGGGGAGGTTTAGACTAGATATTGGGAAAAATTTCTTTACTGAGAGAGTGGTCAAACATTGGAACAGGCTGCCCAGGGTGGTGGTGGGGTCACCATCACTGGAAGTATTCAAAAAAGGTACAGACGTGGCACTTCAGGACATGGTTTATGGCCACGGTGCTGTTGGGTTGACAGCTGGACTTGATGATCTTAAACGTCCTTTCCAACCTTAATGATTCTGTGATTCTGTGATTTTACTGCCTTGAGCTATAGTGATCAGAATTTTCATGGCTACACATAGTTATTTTCAAAACAGTTTACCCTCAGCACAGCAGCCACTGTGCTGCTTGCTTCTGCTCTGTTATTGTCATAGTCCAAGGGACAGCGGCTCAAGAAGCAGAGCAGGTCTGTCCATAGATAAGCTATCAGGCGCAGCTCTTGCGGTAAGGAGAAGCAGGGATTCAAGGAGGAGCAGTCACATACGGACATGACATATTGAAAGCTGAGCAGGAGAGTCACAGCACATCTATGAGCCCAGAAAGTCCAGCTCTAAGCAAGGAATGACCCCATTCCCTCTGTCTTCCAAAGAGTTCTTACGTCTGTACCAGGTCTCCTTTTCATGCTCTTTCACACCCACAAGAAAGTGGCCTTGCTTGGTTCTGTGTCGCATGTCATTCACCCCTGTCACTGTTATGCTGCTGTGCCAAAAACCTCAGCGGACAACCGCAGGGACAAGATTACATCTAACACTGGAAGGAGTTTGCTCCTCCACAAGCAGAATGTCAGCATTGCTCAGTGGAAGAGGAAAGAAGAAGAAAGCAAATACAAATAACACAGTTCAAACTACTTCTATTTCTCCTCTAGTAGCAGGAAGGAAATGGCACGTTGTGTTGATGTGTGTCTCAAAGGAGAGAGCTGAAAAACAGAGTCCTGACAGCATACTGTTAATGCCTTTGCTGCCAGCAGCCTAGATACCCCACTAAAACCGGTTCAGACACCTGTTTCTTCCAGGATATGGAAGAGAGATCACCAAGCCACCCACACCCCAACACTGCCACGTGCATTGAACAACGCAAGGCTGTCCTATACCTGCATTAAGCTGTGACAGTATCCCTTAAGATAGAGGCAAGGCAATGTTTTCCAGAGTCCCTTTGTGAACTCTTCAAATCATGACATACCTGTCCAAGTAGTTGACAATGTTGGGGTTTTTGTTTTCCCTCATCACAAGGATTTCATTAATAATCAGTTCTTTTTTGGGCTGCTGCTGCAAGTTCATCTGTTTGATTGCAACCTGCAGTGAAGAAAGACCAAGTAAAGCATTATTACAGGAGTCCCCTAGAAACCTGCCAGTACCAGTGTGGATTATTTAGTTGCTTTTAGTCTATTTTAGTCCTGCATTCACGTGAAGGGGGAAAACACTTTTTCATCACGGGCTGCTCAGCCTCTGTGATTTATGGCAGACAATCCATTTCCACACATGCTAGAGGATACTTAATGCCAAAAAGGACAAAGGGAATTGCTATTTTCATACTGGACCTTTATGTCACAGTTGTATGGCCATCTCCACTACAACTTCTTGGTAACAAGGAAGAAATCCCCTTACGGGTACGGACCGGTATGTCAAAAACTTTTTATTTCTTAAACCATTCTTATTAATTTTATTTTAGATTGGATGTTTCTGGAAGTTTTTTGGTGGGTTTTTTTTTCCACGCTACTGTGCAAATCTGTGCTTCTAGAAATATACAGCAGGGCGGCCATGCATGAAAGGGTAAATAACATAGCCTAAGCTTAGTACTCCATGGTGGTAATTCGTTTTGTCACAGCAAGACTTGGGGGAAAGAAGCACCCGTGTTTAGATAAAAGGCTGAAAATAAATGACTTGTATTTAGCTTTTTCCCCAGTCATAACTGAAGGAAAATAGGGGCAGATTCATCAAGTGCAGCCCTTTGGCTTAGCAGTTTTCTGCCTGCTTCATTGTACCAACTTTGCACATATATGCACAAAAAAGAGGAGGATACAACATGTTTTTAACTCTTATGTTCAACTCTCCATGCTAGCAGTACTTCATGAGAGCACCTGGCCCTCAGGCAAGCCTTCAAATCAATAAGAGTACTCAGCAGGAGGCAGAAACATCCCATAGGCATTACAACCCAACTGTATTTGGTACAATATTTAGACAAAGGGGACGAAATGTAATTATGCCTTTACAAAACTGCTACTTGCAGAAAAAGAGGCCTAGGTGAAAGGATGGGAGCCAGTAACTCCAGCTCACAAAAGCAAGGATTAAAAGAGACAAGCCACAGAGTGCCAGTATAGATGGATACAATTAGTATTTTGATGGTATAGCAGGGAAGACTACAGAAAAAACCCAACACATTAGAAGGCAAGAACAGACAGACACCACGCTGTTTTTCCACAGTATTCATGAGGACTGCCAAACAGTACTTAAAGAAGACAAAACCAAAAACCCCATGCCGTTCTTTGCGCAAGACCAGAGAGGAGAATGAAGGATGAAGAGGAGAGAGAAGGTATTTGATGCAGATAAAGAAATCCCAGACCAATACTGAGGGAGCTTCAGAGAGGCTCCTGTACTTCCTCACTCCTGTTCCGAGGCAGACCCATGGTCCAAGAGCACATGGGGGCATTTTCCTTACCTAAGACCGTCCCGTGCATTAAAATAGAAAATAAGCAGCTGTAGTTATACTAGATAGCCATTATCAGTGAAAATCTTCAGTATTCTTAGCCCTGGGAGCTGCCCAAGGCTCCTGTATAGTGCAAAATGAATGAGTTTCATTCTGCTGCTTCCAAAATGTGTTGCTGTTCACTTAGCTCCAGAGCTCAAAGGACTGGTAACAGCACGCTTCACAGAAAGGAAAGGTCAACAGCATGCCAAGGTTACAGCGATCCCAAATGCAAATTTAAACTTCCAGAGCCAAATCACACCAGTGCAATGGGAATGATTTAAAAGTCTGTTGTAGTATAAGGGTTCAAATATTCACAAGGGAGTCACCAAATGGGACCAGAAAGAAAGCAAAAAACCATCAAAGGAGATCTTCCTCCTATAAAATTTCTCATTGCTTCAAAAGAAATGCAACGCCCCTTCCTCAGAGGCTGCAATTAAACTGTATTTTTCAGGAACTGAAAAAAAGAGGGTGAAGGAGTTTCAGCAAAAAGCACAATTATGAAATTTACTGCTGGATAACCCTGGCATTGTCGAAATGCAAAGTAAACATGCATTGCTGCAGACTTCCATAAATATATTTGGAATAATGCATAAACTGTCCTCTTTAAAAATCCTCCATCTAGCAATAGCGGTTTCCACAGATGCTGCATATCTGTCACTACTAGTTTATTACACACGCATGCAATACGCAGAGCACTTTTCAATATTCGGGAGGGAGAGAAAAACCAGACAGACACCCCTAGTCTCTCAATTCAAGGGCAGAAAGCAAGTGGGCAAAGGGTGGGAGAGGGACTATTCCTATGCAAGTCAACTGGTATAAGCGTAGGAAGGAAAGGAGCAGAGGGCATATAAAAGAGTTTAAATGGGGACAGGCAGGAATCTGGGGGATGAAGAAAAATTTCTATTGAGGAACTATCCAGTCTGAACATTTGCTTCTAGCCTTTGTGCTCACAGAAAGATTTGTTACAAACATGAAATGATTCAGGAATCAAAACTTGGGAAATAATTTTTTCCAGTTCTCTGCTCGGACCACTCAACCATTCCTCATTATTAGTAAGTAAATAAATACCTCATTCAAAATAAGATGTCATGAACCCCTGAAAGACCGTCTTTATTTTGTAGCATCAACTTGAACTTTTAGGACACAATCCAAAATCCACTGCTGTGGTATTCTGGTAGCACTCACCTCCTGTCCCGTAGCAACATCCATTGCCGTGTAAACTGTACCTGAGGCTCTGTACAAAAAAGAGAAAAGAACAAACCCCCAAACAGTTATTAATGTCTCATAGCAAGACTCAATGCTTACCACATGCCCCTTCCCACTTGTCTCTTTGAAGTGCTCTCAGTCCCACTCCTTTTCATGCAATAATTCCAGTGGTAAACATCTGAAATATTTCTGAGCCATGACTGCTGTTGGAGCAGAAGCCAGAGAATTTATGGGGAACAAAGCTCCTAATAAGGGACACTGTGGTCATCCAAACCCTCACTGCTAAACCAGCAACTTCGCACAGCTTGTAGGACCATGAATTGATCACATTTAAACCGGCATGACTGCACCGCCCCGGCTTGCAGAGTGTCCAACATGATCACAGAGCAGATAGGATCAGCTAAAGTAAACAAATGTGGCATTAGTGAGGGAGATGGGAGCTTCAGCCTCAGCACATGGAGCTGACAGCAGATCTCAGTGATCTGCCTCACTACAGCCTCCCCCTCAACCCCTACTTTCCCCCTACCCTGCTAAGAGGGGCACAACACCCACGTCGAGGAGAGTTGATTCAGAAAGAAAATCTGTAATTTGAAGATTGTCTTGCATGCTGAAAATAAGCAGTTCCTTCCCTGCTTGCAGCTATATTTAGAAACCTGATCATCTAATGACATATTTTCTTATATTAAAACACAATCCCACAAAAAACCCAATCCCTGTGACTCAAGACTTTGCCAGGAAAGGGAGAAGAGCCAGGGGGGGGGACACCCACCAAAACAACCTAAACACCAAAAAACCTGCAAAAAGAAAACAAAACCAACCAAATGAAATAAACTCTCCAAAGCATCACCAACAGCTTTTCCAGCAAACTAATTTAGCCTGTTCTCAGTGCTTCCTTCTTAGCATAAGGTATAGGACAGAGAAGGAACATATACTAACCCTTGTCCAATCTTCTCAAAACACGTATACTTCTTTTTTGGATCGCCCACACTCACAATGCTTCCTACAAAAAAAAAAAAAAATAATTCTTCCAAAAAAAAAAAAAAAAAAAAAAAAAAGGATTTTTTAAGTACTTACGCTGTAAGAACCAACTGTACTTTAAGAGCAGCCCCAAGGCCACCGTGGGCTCTGCTGAGCCTTATGGGCCACCTGCCAGAAATCCAGAGGCACACGAACACCAAGGAAGTCCTCCATTATTTATACACACACCAGCTGTGGCATTCCGCTCTCACAGTATCTCCCCACAGAAATGGTGGAACACAGACATTAAGCGGATTTCAACCTTCACTAGCAGCTGGTGACGGCACACTGCTAGGCACAGGATGGGTATACATAGACCTCACACATGTAAATACAATTATTTGCTGTAAACCTGCAACTTAAAGTCACCCCCAGCTCCAATACACTGGATTATCCAAGATGCCCCCACACCGCAAAGTCCTCTGAATTTGGAAGTTGGGGCCTCGTTCATCTTAGAGCCAACAGTTTCTTACAAATCTAGCCAAAGGTTTCCC